TCATTGGAACTTTTGGCCAATTAGATGGTGTATTTGGACTGAAATTCCATACCTGGTAAATTAACTCTTGCTTAGGGTTCAGCACTTTCTTTACTTTCTATCCAGTAACCTAGATTTGTTGCTTCCTGGCAAGTATTCAACTGATAATCTTCCGAAAGAATCTGCTGTGTATCTGCTTAAGTTGACAGCAAAATACATAAATAAGAGTCTACCACAAATTCTCTTCTGATTGGGTGATATGTACTGCAACGGTCTCTTCATCTTTGATCTTTGTTCATTAATAATTTCTTCCGGTGAGGTAATCATCTTGACTTTAGGCAGTTCAGATTAGTGATGGGATTTCTGTTTGCAAAGTGAGATTTTGTCAGAAGATGGTGCCCAAGGTCATAGAAGTGCCATATCTTATATCATCAGACGATGCATACATTTTGTAGTCTTTGTAATTTCATTGTATTGTTGCCTTCCACTAGTCTATCTGGTGTTCCTATGTATTGGTTAAGACAGGTTGATGTACCCTTGCAAGGATCAATCAAGTTATAAAGATGGTAATCAATGCTTTAGCTGCTTTTGCAATGATTTGGATATGGTATGTGACTGGAGCTGCAACTTATTCAACACCTTGATGATGAGACCTTAAACTTGTTATCTTTCAATTCTAATATTGCGTGTTAAAAGGTTTTTGTTTGAGCTCATTCTGACATGGCCATTGTTGGGGTTATACGCATGCTGATTGCTGGGTGATCAGTGCTTTAGCTGCTTGTATACTGCTTGTATTATGTTGTGTTTGCATTTTTAATTGTGGGTCTTTCACCAACTAATGATTCGTGGCTGAAATGTAGAGATCTGGCTTTATGGCTTTTAAACAAGTTTGCACGATTACCTTCTCTTTTTCATTGATTGACTGACTGTTCTCTGAAAGAGATTGCACAAAGCTGTCCTGGATTACGCGCTATTGACCTGAGCAACTTGCGTATATTGACAGACTCTGCAATCGGACATCTTGCCACTGGTTGTAGAACAGTTGACAAGCTAAAACGCTGTCACAATGCTTTCAGGTTTTCAAAATATATCATTCAATACATAATGCTTTCTAAATGTAGCATATGCAGCGCCCTTAGCCATAATCTTTTACTTGCAATATTTATCATCATTTTCTATTGCTTTTTACTCTTTTCTTCAATGTCGGTTGCTTATGCCTTAAGAGAAAATTTGTCAAAGAATATCACCATACGTTGCTACAAAGGAAGGTTGTTTCTTCGCATAAATGATTCTTCACTTTGAATATTGAAAAGATGTTTCAAATTTCATTCTCATATTCCTTTTGGGGGAGTGGTTGGCTGCCCAGAATCATCTAGGTAGATAGTGCATACATTTTTTTTTTGTATTTTACTTTTATTTTGTAAGTAAAATTAGCATATCCAATTTGCGGAGATATAATAGTCTTTATGCTTATAGGAGTGGGTGCATACGGCACATTGTAATTTGTATATATAAGGAGCGTCTCATTCTGTCAGATTATATGAGCTGGATTTGACATGGTTCACACTTAGCTCCTTTGATGAAATTTCTACCTTTATCGAGCATGTATGTACCCTTTCCATCTTTGCATGGACATGTATTTGAGTATGTCTACATGAGATCTTAGCTCTTTGTAGTTGGCACACGCCATTTCACCTACTCCTTAGCTTCATCTGTTAATTTTTTAAAAAACCGGAGAAAAGGAAATATCAGACGAAGAATAGGAATGGGCAGGGAAATGATTTTGCAGTTGTGTCTGTTTTTTCAACTTTTTGGGCTTTGTATGTATTTACTCTCATATGATTCCTGAGTTGTCTTCCATGCTCGAAGGCTTATAATAGTCAAATAGTGGTTTCAAGCCACATATAGGATCCTCTCAGTAGCATTCTTGAAAAAACGACAAAGTAAGTGTTCTGTTTGAAGTCTTAGAATAGTGGTTTCAAGCTTCATATAGGATATTATAAGTATGCATTCTTCAAAAAGTGAAAAAGAGCTATCCTTTTCTATAGTATGTTCTGAATTCCTTATACTCATAAATAGTAAAATTGAAAGTGGCATAAGCTTACTCTTAATCTTTATCAATGGCAGTGATGAAGCTGTTGCTGCTTATGTTGAAACCAGTGGGGAGTCTTTGAAGGTATTGTCTCTCAATTTTGTCAGTAAGGTATTTGACCGCATGTAATGTTCATCACATTTTTCTTATTGTGTTTGTGTGGTCCTAGGAAAATTTGTTATGGGTTCTGATTGTGCTTCGTGTTTGCTGAATTCTAGTTGGTAGCTGCTACTTTACGCCTTGATGTCTAACAAATCACCAGCATTACACACTGGACTTAGAATTCTCGATTAAGCCTGCTAAATTCACCTTAGATCAACATTTTAATCCATTAGAGAGATAGAAGAGGCTCTAATGATTTTACTATCCACTTTTGCTTTTCAAGTATTGTTTGTTCCACAAGGGATAACTTTTTGATCAAGAAGTTATTGCTTATGGATGTTCTGAACTTTTGCTTAGATATATCAACTATTCAAACCTTGGATTTGTTATCTGAACATGCAGATTTTCTTTGTTTTCACTTCTAGGCCTCTTGTTTTCTCTTCATGTTTATCTGGGTACATGGAAATTTGATAATAAAAAAAGGTCAATGAATTATTGCCAGACTAAAAAGTAAAGGAATCAAAGTTTTTCAATGTCTTTATATGATTTTTACAGGTTTCACACAACACTGCAATGTCACTATCCAAATGCTCAAAAATTTGATTAGTCTGGATTTGTCTTGGTGCTGCAACTTGACAAATGAAGCCCTGGGATTGATTAGTGATAACTGCTTGTCATTGGAAGTATTGGAATTGTTTGGCTGTACTCAGGTATGCCCTGTTTAGTTTGGTAAATGAGAAACATACTTTGCTCACTGCCCCAAAGTTTGCCTGACCATTAAAAGGACACAGCTAATGCCCTACCTTTTTTCCTGTGCTTAGACTGCCAACAGTGATTGGTGAATTGAAAGGCACCTGCTCGTACCAGTGTCGAAGACATTGGCTGTCTTTCTCGATTATGTAGAAATATAGGAATTTCTTGTGCTTGTACAATTTGATTTTGTGTTGTGACTTTGAGTTCTTTCCTACACTCTAGGTTCCATTCATCTTAAGGTTTCATCCAAACTGAAGAAAGGGGCACAAAAAATTTGTTTCTTTTGCCCCAGATTGACCCTAAAATCTGGAGAATAAAATCTAAATTACTGTGACATATCACAAAATGCCTGTGCTCTCAAAAGGTTCATGTTGTTTCTTTTGGTGCGGTTATTGTTACTGCTTCCTTTTTTATCTGTCTTTAAGCCAAGGGTATATCAGAAACCGTTTCTTTACCTTCACAAGGTAGGGGTAAGGTTTGAATACACACTACCCTCCCCAGACCTCACTTGTGGGATTACATTGGGTTTATTGTTGTTGTTGTCATTGTTGTAAAAGTTTCATAATACAGGTTATTTGTTAAATTCCGTGGCCGTAAACGCAAATAGATATGAAACCATTATTGGTGGTAGATAGGTATTGTATTTGACTGTTCATCACTTAAGCTCAAATGCATAGGTATGGGAGGCACCATACTACCTCCTAAATGTAAAATGCTTTTCACTTTGCCTTAATAGTTCCTTTTGTAGTACAAGGGCTCTTCTGAGAGCTAAGATTCCCAAATGCAAACTCAACTCTTCAACTTCTTAAGAATCTTATCTAAGCATGGCATGTTGTTGGCTCGAATATCCAGGTAAGTGATCGATAATGGATGCAATTTTTTGACACACTGCTATCTGGTTTAATAATAATGACATATGTTGGTAGAACTATTTTTTGCATAGAAACATTCATCTACATGTGCTTATTCCAGAAACAGAGAGGATCCTAGCCTATCTTTTATTATATCCAAGATTACACATAATGAAAGATGTCACAAACTCACATAGATAGTTTTCAAGCACACTGCATTAGTTTTTTCAATTTCTTCCTTTAACTATAACCGAAGTTATCATAAATTTTTTGGGAATGAAAGTGAAAATGAAAAGAATGTGATAAGAGCTTCCTTGTTTAGTTTGCAAAAGAAAGGGATGATTGAGTAATTGACGAATTAGAGTAACAATCTGGAGATCCTAGGTTCGAGTCCTAGCTACAATGTCCGGTTTACCAACACATCTGCTTGTGAGTTGTAACAAGCTGCAGGTAGATTAGTCGAGTTGCACCCAAACTGACACAAACACCATCATCAAAAACAAAAGAGGGGGTGGGTGTTGGGGGCTGGATTGGAGAAATGAAATGTATTTTATTAAGGCACGACCAATATCTAGAGGAAGTTTGAAAGAAAAAGGCAATCTTATACTGCAACTCGTAACTTTCCTCGCGTTGTTAAAAAGAATGATATTCTTTCCTACTATATTATTTACTTCCTTTAACCAAATAAGATATAAATTGTTTTATTTTTTATGTCCTTCAAATCCCCTCCTTTATATTAATTTCTCCATTATACATATTCCATTAAATTTTCCCTTCTCTTTTTCCCCTCTTCTTTCCCCTATTTCAGTACAAAGCAAAAAGTGTAAGAATGAAGATTTTTAGCACTAAATGGTTAAAATGTATACAACAAAAGAATTCAACATTTAACTACTTTGATAAGAAACTTTTATTCACACAAGATAGCACCAATATCCTTAAAACATGCTAATGCATAACAAGATACCTGTCCCTAGGCAACTGACATATAGTACTTAGAAACTCTTTCACTTGGCATACACAAAACCTGAGAAAAGACTGGAGACGCTAGAAATGGGAAGTCTACGGCACCTTCTAATGGTTCCAAGTAGGTGGCAAAATACTTAAAAGAAAACAGTTAACCACCCATATTATCAACTAAAAAATGGGTTGGATAATGAACTATTTAAAAACGGGTCAAATATGAATAAGAACCATATTATCCATTTAAAAAATGGATAACCAATGGGTCTAACTTTTACATTTGTAAAGCCTCAAATTGGAGGTTAGTCAAGTTAGGGAGACTAAAAATTCTCCCAAAAATGGTCATATGCAATAAGTCAAGGATTACCCATATTATCCGCCGGTTAACTCATTTTTTATCCGTATTAAATATGAGTTGGGTCGGATAATTTATCCGTTTTTTCATTACCCATTCTCGACTCGAACCATATCCGACCTGACCCAACCGTTTGCCACTCCTAGTTCCAAGGTATGCGTCAAGATGACTGGAGGATCATCAGATGACACCCTTCTCAGGTATGGTGGCTAGCCATACCAACTTGAAATGCCCCTTTGGGTAGAGACCAAAGGCATAAAGGCCAGAAGGACATTGCCAAGAACTCTGTAAGAGTGGAACCAAAGGATATATTGGAGGTTGTTGTTGAACTCCAACTTCAACAGCAGAAATCACAGCTGTAAGCATCCAGACATGGAAATAACAATAAATTAGCCAAGTTAGAAGGACGGAAAATGGAGTATTGCTTAACTTTTGCAGCTATCGATAAAACAAGACTACTTGAATTACTTTTTGTGAAAAAGTCTAAATTTGCCACTAAACTATTGAGTTCACTTAACTTTACCTTCACTCAAAAATTGGCAACAAAAATACTCTCATTGTTCACCCTTTTGTATCATAGAGCCCTTTTTTCTCTAGCTCAGCAAAATGAATCATCTTTTGCATTCATCATCGTCCACGTAGGGCACGTCAGTGACACGTGTCATAATAAAAACGCATGTTCGAGCCACTGCAGCCAAACAAAACAAACCAAATGGCCCCTATCTTTGAAAACATGTTAAATGACACAACTAAAGCTAATCAGGTAACAACTAATCAACTTCTTGTTAAATTTTCTGAAACAACTTCCAGTCACTAACATTTAAAAAGTTTAAGTGATTGTTTCACATCAAGTCATTTTAGAAGAAGGGTCATCTAAACAAGCCAACTAGGAAATCTTTTAGGGAGAAGCTAAGAGTTTCTTCTACCAATGACCTGTTAGATTTTTCTATCTTCATCAGTTTTTTCTCTATCAATTTGTTGTGTTTGTTTCTCACCATGAAAGAGATATATCCTTCTTAGTCCTCGTTCCGTCTTAGTTGCCTTGTCAGTCATCTTGTTAGCTAAAAGAAAAAACAGGAAAAAAGAAAAAGAATATAAGGAAACTCATGAAGCTTTTCTGAAGTTCTAGCTTCAGTTTAACTGCCCTTTTCTTATGCTACCAAATTTGTGGTTGTGGGGCATATAAAACTAGAGACTAGAATCCAGATATAGAATAAAAACATTATCATATAGTTACAGATTCTACTCCAATTGGCCATGTTTGACAGCACAACGTAGGATAAAGTACAACCGCTAGAACGGTCACAAAACGGAGATGAATTAGCAGACCACTAGGGCAATGCAAAACTACTTCAGTACACGTCACTTGTTAGTATTGAAGTAGAATTTCTCATTGAATAACAGAAGAATTAGGAATCTAATGTGCAAACAAATTGGATGAAGGATAACGCTACATATTGTTACACTAGCAAAATTCAAGCTATTATTTTCTTTTGTCAATACTGCTTGTACAGTTTTGTCTTTCTCATCTTGCAAATGCAGCAATCCTTTTCCTATAGATACATAATAATAAGGTCAATGGGAAATGGATTGAGGAAAAGAACTGCATTAGATAGATGTTAGTAAGTTCTCCCTGCAAATGTGGCAGGACATGTAAAAAGGCACTTAGTATCTTCAAGACGAGGAAAAGTTAGTTGGCTTACAGGTAAGGTTGAACCTTCTGCAGCATCTATTTTCCTAGAAATCAATTATTTTTGCTTGCACTCACTTCTTTGTTTTGGTTACAATTACCAGTTTATTCCAAATTGCAAACAAAGTTATTCATAATATTATTGGAATACTGACCTTTTTAAGACTACGATATCATCCAGCTAGCCATGAAGATGTCCCTGTGCAATTTGTAACTGTTGAGAGTTTTAGAAGATAATAAATACCTTTAACAGGTTGGCATCGGTTCCTCGGAATTGATTTCCCTAGCACCTTGAACCCTTTACACTCATGGAGAAACTGTCTAATGATGAAGAGATGGGAACCATATGATAAAAGAAGTTACTTCCACTCATTTGGTAGACTAACTTCTGTCTCTTAGTACATAGCAGTGTCCAACAGAGGCCCACAAGTGGTAGTATCGGGGTAGGATTCATCTGATCAGAGTCTTCAAGGAATAATATAAGTCAATAAGCAGAAAAAAGATATTAAAAGCACTCCTCTAGCTCACCCCATGATCCCCTAGCCAGAATTGAAGTACACAAGGCTTCAAGATGTTCAGTTTTCGTGCTCAGCATCCAGAAAGATAACTTTTCTGCTGCATTCCAAGTCGAGATGTAGCCAACCTTCTTAAAGACAAGCAACCCTTTTTAAATTTTGGAGAAAAATAATGGAAGAACAAGTTTCATATTGTATAAGGGGACTTGTGTACCAACCTCTTTAAATGTGTCAGCAAACAACAGCTGCCAAAGATGTGAAGGAATTTCATTAACTCCATTTGATCAATTTGAATTTGTGCAAACCAGTTATTTGTCCTTTACTCAGATGGCAAGGAATGATACAGAATTTTGAGGCAGGAGAGGAGTATACATTATTTTGGAGACAAATGATACTGATGCTAGTACTACTGAAGGAATTTCCTCAATTCCACATGATCAATTTGAACATTTTGGAGAATCATTTATTTGTCCTTGTATGGCCAAAGATGAAAGATTTGATGCAGGTGAGTTTAGGTAGTTTAGGAATCAATGCCACCGAAGCTAGTTATTAGAATGTAAAACCCGACTTAATCATCTGTGAAAGAGAACTATGATGTACAATGATGCAGGTTGCATATGACGGTTTACAAATAATTGAAGCAGAAGAGTATTAAGTTGATTTCTGAGAATGACACCTTTACATGATTTGAAACTGATAGACTAGTGAATAGCCTAGAGTAATCAGCAGGAAAAAGACGCCGAACTCATCAAGTTGACAAAGGAAAAGTGGAATCCAAGTATAAACAGTGATAATCATATTGATCCTTCTGCCTAGCAAGATTCCGAATGTTTTTACTTCAAACAGAAGCTTTCATCCCCCGCTTCGCCTATCTTCAACAAGCGATGCCGACAAAACTCTTTAAAAGAGATCCGCTTCTCTGCAGATATAGGGAGATCTATCAAACTTAAACGAAGTAGGAAGGCAATACAAATGATATTGATTACAGGAATCTGCAGACCTGGGTCGATAGACAATAGTCTCGAGCATAAGTCAACACAATCAGGGTGCAACTGAGGAATAATCAGCTCAGAGAAAGGAAGACACAGAGACGCCTTGATATTCTGTAGTATCTATATTAAAAACATAAATAATTGATAAGTGCACTAACAAACAGAGGGTGGCCTTTCATTGAAGAAAATGTTGTTACCTGAACACTAGTCCTACCGTGGAAAGGAGGGTAACCATTAAGTAGTTCAAACAGAATTGCACCAAGACTCCACATATCAACCTATTCAGAAGAATAGGTGTCAGCTTGACTCCTCTGTGTAATATAGTTGTATTAACTAGTTTCTTACCTTCGCATCATATTTTTGAAATTGAAGAATTTCTGGAGCCATGTAAAAAGGGGAACCACAAACCGTTTCTGCAAAGTCGTCCGGATTTAACATTCTGCTCCAAGAATAAAAAGATAAAGAGATAGTTAATGATGCCAGGCATTTTAGCTTCCCTGTTTCAGAACTCCATATCAAGTTTCTTTACCTTGAGAGACCAAAATCAGCAATCTTAAGAATCGGGTCATTCTCCAAGCTAGATAAGAGAATGTTCTGAACCAGAAATGAACTAAAATTAGAACATTCTCAGACACAAAAATAAATAAATGAGATGAACATTGAATTTTGATTATAAGTATTCAAAAGTGAACAAAATTCAATAAAAGAAAAATGACGATAAAACTTGCAAAAACAAATAGATTACCAGGTAGGGAGGACTTGTGAGTAAGGCTGGCAAGTGGGCCGGTCCAGGCCCGGGACCGCGGGCCAAACGGCTAAACGAGTCAGGACCGTTTGGTCCGGTCTCGTGGGCCGGTCCTATTATTTGGGCCCGCCAGGGCCCGGGACCGGCCCGGTCCCTTAGCGGGCCCAACGGCTATTTTTTTTTATAAAAAAAACCGTTGGGCTGTCAAAAATAGCCGTTGGCTATTTATGAAATGNCGGACCGCATAGGACCGGCCCACTTAGGACCGGGCCCGCGAAGCCCACTTAGGACCGGGCCCGCAAAGCCCACTTAGGACCGGGTCCGGCCCACTTGTCACCCCTACTTGTGAGTCATGCAACCGACTTGTAGATTTATTATGCGGTTGTACTAAATTTTGTAGGTTCTATGTCAGTAAACCTTCTTCATTTCTACTCGTAGATATCTATTACCATTTCTACTTCTCCTTTTGACACAATTTTTTCGACTTTATGCATTTTCATGCTTCCTCGTTCTTCACCGTCTCTCAAGAATTAGGCCCCAATTTTATCTCTCAAACTTCATTCCCCTTCTCAAGACCTTTCCCTAGGTTACACGTTTTCCCCCTTCAATTTCCAAACCTGAAGTACACCTAGCATTTCTAAATTACATGTGCATCATAAACATTCAGCTCAAGGCGACGAAAGGGCTCTGAATATCAGCTCAAGACATTAATAGGAGTTTGGAATGCTTGTTGGAAAAAAACCACATTTCAGACAAATAACTTGGTGCAAAAAAGGTGAAAAGAAAAAGCTAAAACTATTCAGCAACCTGATTCCAGCATGCATTTGGTGGACAGATTGGAAGGAAAGAAACTTTAGATGTTTTGAGGATACAAGTAATTCCATCCAAAGGATAAAATTGAATTGTATGTTACTTTTCCTTTTTTGGTGTAGAGAGCTCCGTAGATGATTGTGAATCCATACTTGAAGTCATAGATTCCCTGTGAGTTTTTGTGTAGGGGGATATCTTCTTTTTTTTTTTTTGTATCTATTCATCAGCACAATCACTGGAGTGGAAAATATATATGAAACATGTTACCAGTTTCAAAAACTATTCAGTTACCTAAAATAAGCTTGGTTCATTTGGAAAAATGATTGAAGCATCAGATTTCATCCACCTCCACGTGCAACTAGCTAATCTCTAAGTAATACGCAAAATTGCATAATGATATATTGAAATAGCAGATCGAATCAAAGATGTATAAATGTGTCTTGGGTGAAAAACAATTTGAGTATACTTCTACTCCTAGGTGTTCTTCAGATTAGTTGATAACACTTCCTGTTTTAGCATTTTAAAATTTTGTTTATTTTATGCATGTTCACAATTATTAATCATGCTTCTTAGCAATGGTCCTTAGGTTTTGTCACAAGACCAGCCTAACAAAAGCTTTGCTGCCCAGCTAAACTAGAATGTGCATATTGAAATGTGTTTTGTTTATGAAGACACAAAAGCTTATACCTCTGGCTTCAAGTCACGGTGGATTATTCGGTGTGAGCTTAGTACCTCTAGACCAGCTCCTACAGTATTGCAATCAAAATGGCATCAGTTATACAAGATTTGAGAAAGGACATCTTGGTATAAGAAAAATTAGCAGAACAAGGTTCTGAAAGAAAATTTACCAATCTGTTTCATAAATTTTATAGCTACACATTCTCGAACTCTGCCATGATTTCGGATATAAGAAGCCAGATCTCCTCCAGCACAAAACTCCAAGACAAGGAAAATACAGTTTTCAGCCTGAGGGATAGATCAATTGTCTCAAATTAAGAACTGAGGGAGATGCACATCACTAGATTTTCGGATGGCTATGATTGGATCTTTAGGTCTGAAACATGAAACTTAAACAAAGATAAAACTACACCTTCTGCCTAATGAGTATAAACTTTTGCAAGTTAAGCTTTTTAAGGCAAATGGGCATTGACAAGCCATACACTGATGCATGTGAAGAAGAACTTCAAAGCTACACCATCCAAAACCCAGCGAATAAATTCTTTAGGGTCACAGCTTTTACTGTATACAACAACAACAACAACAACCCAGTATAATCCCACTAGTGGGGTCCGGGGAGGGTAGTGTATACGCAGACCTTACCCCTACCCTGGGGTACCCTGGGGTAGAGAGACTGTTTCCAATAGACCCTCGGCTCCCTCACTCCAAGAACTCACCACCTTACTCTTGGGGTGACTCGAACTCACAACCTCTTGGTTGAAAGTGGAGGGTGCTCACCACTAGAGCAACCCACTAGAACTCACAGCTTTTACTATATCTAGTACATAAATTGTGATGCACTACATCATCTTATGACTAAAAGCTATGATGCTATAATTTACAGCTGAAATCACTTGCTCAGAGTAGATAATGACGCACAAAAGAAAGTAGAAAATATAAAAGTTTTTCCTTCTGACCAATCATATCTTGGATATTATGCACCCAATTTAACCTTTCCACTTTCCTATTAACGCCTTCCAGAATGGTGCTCTTTGCGGAAAGCATCTTTCTAAATTAGAAGAGAGATGGAGAAAGACCACCATTTTTGGTCAGGGTTTATCTCTTTTTTTCACAAATATTACCCATCCAGGCAAGTGAGGCATCCACTATTGCTCATTAAAAGATCATAAAAGAAACAGAATTCTAATGGATCCAGTGAAATTTCTCAGTCGAAATTGTTCTTAGCCGTTAACCCCTTGCTACCCAAATATCAAAGCTTGAGCTTGCTCAATTTGTCAGAATTATAAAGTTGACAATTGTTCAATTACTATAAAAGTTTTTTTTTTTTGATAAATGAGAAATCAGTTGTTTCCATCTGGAAATTCCGTGAACAATGAGCGACCCCTTTACCCTTCTCCACATAAATACCAGACTTGATTCACCACCAAAATTCAAACTTGTGAAGTACGCCTACACATAGCTGTACTCATTTGCAGTTGAACCAAAGCCCTGGGGCTAACAATTTTATTCACATAAAATGTTACTTCAATCCAATTCCATTAAAATTGTGTAGAAAATCATAAAGCTATTTGGAATACTCAATTATAGATATAAAAAATAAGAATACTCAATTATAGATATAAAAAATAAAGATAGCACAAACCTGAAAGATATCGAAAAGGCGAATGATGTTAGGGTGATTAACAGAAAACAAGAAGGTGAGTTCACAGTCCAAGCAATTTTTGAGTTGGCGAGTGAGGTTGAGGAGGTTGATTTGCTTCAACGCCACCACTTTTCCGTTTGTACGGTGCTCCGCTTTCCACACCGTCGACAACGAGCCTCCGCCGAGCCTACACGTCAGCGTGTACTCCCCGACCGTCCGGTGATCAGCTTCCATTGTATTCTGTGTGTGTTTATTCTGTCTTTGGGAAATTTTTTAGAAGAGGTGCCGATGCTTTTTGGCCTTTTTTTTTTTTTTTGAAATCCACACAAACAGTTTTCAAAATCATTTAAAGTAAAATCAAACAACTACCCACTAAAATCCAAAAGGGGCCGGGAGGTTAGATTGCACGCATATCTTAGCCCTACGTCAGAGAATATAAAAATTATTTTTAATAGACTCTCGGCTCAAAAAAATAAAATAAAAAATAATATATCAGTATTATCAATAGAAAACAATAACAATAATGACAACAAGAAACAAAGAATAGATGCAAAACACTAACAACAATCAGTAGATAAGATCCGCCACAATAAAAAATAAGAGAATAGTGTGAACATAACATAAAATTATTTAAAGAAAAATATAGAATTGAAATTCAAGTTTAAAAAGAGTTTATGGAATTAGAATTGTGTTTTGACATAAATTTTTTTTGAAAAGAAAAAGTAAAAAAATTTCAGCAAAAATTGATATTTTCCTTGAAATATACCTTTAAACCTGTGTTTTTTAAAGAGCGGGATCTTAAAAAATTTTAATTTTTAAATTAATAATATAACATTATAATAGGCAAGAATATAAAAAATGCATTAAAAGTTTATGAAAACGAGAAAGAATTAAAAACACTCATAGAAAATAAAATATCTAGCATGTTTTGCAAATATAAATAATATAGTACGTTTAAAGTTACTATGAAATATAAATCAACTATAACATCTTAATTTTTAAATAATTAAAAAATATAATTTCTTAAAAATATTATCAAACGACACATTTTACATCCCTAAAAGTAAATACTCAATAAATTGTGTCAATATTATAATTTACAAGGTTACTCCTTCGTGAATAATAAATGCTAAATTACTTTTAAATAGCAAAATAATAAATATATGATGATTTTCAGAGTAGAACTAAGTCACGAAGATCTAGCAAGTAAGATATAAATTTTGGTATTTATTTTAAGAAAAGAAATATTTAAATGATATTCACCCCCACGATATTCTAAACTAGTAAATATATAATACTATGATTCGTTATTTGAGTTATTCATAATTTCATATTCCTATAGATAAAAATTACTTTAATCATTCATGAGTTAAATAATTTTGAGAGTCAATAATACTAATTAGTGATTTCGACCGGTTATTTGCATAAGAATTGTTGGAGAGCTTCGAGCGTTGAACATTAGGAGTGTTCAAAGCATATAGTCGGGAACTTAGAGCGTAAACCTCACATAACTAAACCCTACACATGAGCCTCAAGATTTTTTAATAGTGCCTCTCGCTCGTCCAAAAAAAACTTTTAAAATATTGCTTTAAACTATTATTTCAACATCTCATTTCTAAGTTAAAATTCAGAAGCTTAGTAACTTTAATATGATAGTATATGATAAAATAAAAGTTAACTAATCATGTCCACATTAAAGTTTGTTATTGTAAAAAGAGAAAAAAGGAAAAAAAGAAAAAAGAGAAAAAGAGGAGAAACGTAATCAATTGCTTAACCGTGTCTTCTAGGATATTCCGAAGAAATAGCGTAAGCGCTTAGCCACGAGTGCTTTACGACGGCAAACGCTTCTTATAAATACAGATCCCCTTTTCGACCTAATCCCAATTCATCATACTCTGCTCTAATCCTCTAAGAGAACTATCCCTCTCATTCTCCATCTCTTCTCGCTTAGCCTCTCAAGGTAAATAATCGATCTTTCTATTAATTCAATCGTTTGTTGAAGACGTTTAAACTTACGCGAATTAGTGTAGTTTGTCAATATATGAACAAAATTGTCCTTTTTTTGACGTTGATCGGCAGATCTGCCCCCGATTAATCAAATTTAGAACAATCTTTAATTGACGAGACATGCCTTTTCTGTTCAATAGTATGTATGTGAAACTATTTTGATGTTATAGCCTTTGTTTTCAATCAAATTGAATTAGATCCTAAATTTTTTACAAGTTTAACGATCGATATTTGTTTGCAAAAGAGGCCTTACTAATCTCTGGGTTTTTGGATTTATTTATCCTTGCATGGGCAATATATAATAATTATGTTCTATTTATGTAGATTTTGAACTATTCTATTTGATTTGCGATTTATCCAATTGTAAGTGTTTCTGCATTTACTTCACTCGACCTCTTTTTTAAAACTGAAATTAAATGTTTGTTTTATGTAGATTCCCTATTTGCCTATTTGATAGCTATGGTTTTATGCTTTTAGGGTTTCGTTGAATTGTTTGAATGATTGATTGTTCGATGGAATTAACTTTGTTTAAGGAGTCCAGAAATTGAATGATTAACTTCTTTTTTAGTTTGTTACTTATGGCTGTAGAAATTAAGGGTGATTGAATTTTCCTCCTTTGATTGATCTCTTGTCTCCCGCTAGCTATTTGGTAGTGCCATTTAGCCGTCTTTGGAATGCTGCTTTCCCTTTATTGCTGTTTCTAATCAATTATGATTTACTTGTTACTCTCTCATATCTGCATCTGGGTAGATGGATTCTATTTCTCCTTCAATTTGTTTCATTGGATGACATTTATTCTAAACTAAATTTTTTTAGGAGTCATCTCAATGTTATGATAGTTTATATACGGGTAGTTTGCTTCTATGATGTTGATCACCAATAAGCTCCTAACTTTTGGCTTTGTAGAACTTTTTTGGGGGACTTTGGGAGCTGCTAGTTTTGTCATCCTTTTTTTTTTTCGCTTGATCTTGATTTGAAATTAAGTCGCGTGCTTCAATACATTTCAGATGCAGATCTTTGTTAAGACACTCACCGGAAAGACCATTACTCTTGAGGTCGAGAGTTCTGACACCATTGACAATGTCAAAGCTAAGATTCAAGACAAGGAAGGCATTCCTCCTGATCAGCAGAGGCTGATCTTTGCTGGAAAACAGCTTGAAGATGGCCGAACTCTTGCTGACTACAACATCCAAAAGGAGTCTACCCTCCATCTTGTCCTCCGTCTCCGTGGTGGTATGCAAATCTTTGTCAAAACCCTGACTGGAAAGACTATTACGCTTGAGGTCGAGAGCTCAGACACCATTGACAATGTCAAGGCAAAGATCCAGGACAAGGAGGGTATTCCTCCTGATCAACAAAGGTTGATTTTTGCTGGCAAGCAACTTGAAGATGGTAGAACTCTTGCTGATTACAACATCCAGAAGGAGTCCACCCTCCATCTTGTCCTTCGCCTTCGTGGCGGTATGCAGATCTTTGTCAAGACACTTACCGGCAAGACCATCACCCTTGAAGTTGAAAGTTCAGATACTATCGACAATGTAAAAGCAAAGATTCAAGACAAGGAAGGTATTCCTCCGGACCAGCAGAGACTGATCTTTGCCGGGAAGCAACTTGAGGACGGGAGGACATTGGCAGATTACAACATTCAGAAAGAGTCAACCCTGCATCTTGTTCTTCGTCTTAGAGGTGGCATGCAGATTTTTGTCAAGACTTTGACTGGGAAGACAATAACTTTGGAGGTTGAGAGTTCTGATACCATTGACAATGTCAAAGCAAAGATTCAAGACAAGGAGGGTATCCCGCCAGACCAGCAGCGTTTGATCTTTGCTGGTAAACAACTGGAGGACGGCAGGACTCTTGCGGACTATAACATCCAGAAGGAGTCGACTCTCCATTTGGTCTTGCGTTTGAGGGGAGGGATGCAGATCTTTGTGAAGACATTGACTGGGAAGACAATCACCTTGGAAGTGGAGAGCTCAGATACCATTGACAATGTGAAGGCAAAGATACAGGATAAGGAAGGCATTCCACCAGATCAGCAGAGGCTTATCTTTGCTGGTAAGCAGCTTGAGGATGGTCGCACGCTTGCAGACTACAATATCCAGCAAGAGTCTACTCTTCATCTCGTGCTCAGGCTCCGTGGTGGAGACTTCTGAATTCATGTGCGCTAATGCTGCTTTTATGATGGCTGTGTCAATGTTGCTTCTTTGTTTTGTTTCAGAACTTTAGGTTTCCTCCGTTTTCCGTTAAAAGACATCTCAGATTCTGTTATGTTGTTTTCGCTGCTAATAAAGATTGGGCGCTACTTGGCTTTATATGTCTTGGTCTCCTCACTCCTCAGTTATACTAAGCCCTGGGGAACTTCACTAAAAATCTCACGATGAACGTAGACGCCTCAGGAAAAAAATGTGACCAAGCTGATATTTTTTATAATCCACTCTTTTGGCGAAAAAACATTGTTATAGTGGTGGCTTGGTAAATTTTGCTGATTCTTATATATAACAGTGAAAATTTCTGCACTTAATATACTGGAGTCTAAAAAAGAAATCTTCTTGAGATGTTCAGTCGAAATTAGGAGGAGAAGCAATAGACTTTATTTTAATTGAGTTTATCACTAAAATATATTTTCAACAAAAGGAGAAGAATTTTAGTAGTTCAATGTGTGATTGCTTAAATTTTTATCTTATTGGTTAGAGTTCGATTCTCCACCCTATAATTCCCCTTTCCATTACTTCTTTCCCTTCCCTTATCTATCTATAATAAAATTTTAAAAAGAAAAACCGAGGTAATTCTCTATTAGAGTTAAGCAAGATATCCGGCAGATACAGGGGAGGAGAAAAAGTGGAATGATAAACGTTTGGCTCTAAACTAGCCACCATCGCCGGTCACCTCATCTTCTCCGTTTCTCCAATCTTAATCTAGACGTAACCAATGTTCATTTGAAGAACTAATGACGCTACAAATATTCATGCTTTTGACAAGTGATATCAGAGATGAGTGTATACGGTTAAAACCGATCCTCGGGCATGAAGATCGATCGAGGATGGCATTTCGATCGAGGGGTATCTTCATGGAGACCCCGAACGAATTCCGAGATGGGGGCGTCTAGCTCGGGCGCTCGAATCGACCGAGATAATATCGACCGATACAGGTCCCGAACATCGATGCCCAAAAGTGATCGCCTAGCTCGAAACCAAGGCCGGGGTTCCGATCCGATACCGAGCTCGAGTCGGTATCGAGTTCACAGACAAAAAGCTGTTACAACTGCACCAAAGGAGAGAATCTCTGCGGGAATTAAGG